CACAGATGGCATCAATGACATCAGATTGGCTGTGTGATGCTCTCACGTCACCAGCTTCGCCAAGGACTCCATTGTGAGCTCAGTAAGGGCTGCTTGTTTTGATGGCATACACTTTGGGGGAAGGTCTGAACAGTCCAGTTTCAGATGGTCCTCACATGGTCAGGATCTGACACAAACCACGGCTCTCACAGGTCAGGAGTCTCTCCACATGGCCCCGCACAGCCTGCAGGACAGCAGCCAGGAAGGGAAGTCCCGGGGAGTGGCCTCCTCCCGGAGCGGCCCTTCCTGTACTCCCAGGAGCTAAGCGCCCCTGACGGACCCACCTGCAGAGCCGCAAGGCGCATGCGTGGAAGTGCTTGTGCCAGCAGAGCTTCTGAAAGGTGAGGGACCTGTCAGACACGGGCTGGCTTCTCCGTGACAAGCCCCCTAAATCACACCAGTCTCTAACACACAGACTGGCCTGAGATTCAGCGCAGCACTGGGAGTGGAATTGTGCTGTGATATTTATTAGCCGGCATAACCAAACCATGATATATATAGTTAATTTTTTTTTTTTTTCTTAAAAGAAATCTCCCTTCGGGGCTCTACTGAACTGGAGGGATTTAGGATAACGATAATATATTTACTATAACCTATCAGACCACTCACAAACATGACAACATCATCAGATAGAAAAGCCAAGAACACAAAACACTGCACAATGCAGTAAGCTAATATTGCCCACTTACGTTCTGCTTGTTTATGTTATTGTTTCTAATCACAAGATGATACACAAATTTAAGTAGTGCCATTAGCTAGACTGCAGTGTTTCCCACAGTGTGGTAGGCGTCCCCCCAGGGGTATGGGAAGAGTTTGGTGGGGGTACCCGTTGCACCGGAGTTTGGTGGGGATATGCACTGCACCGTGCTTAGCTGGGCCTAATTCTACGTTCTCATGAGTACGAGGAGTACTCAGCATTACGAAAATTATAGAAGGGGTACACGTATGTCAAAAGTTTGGGAAACACTGAGCTAGAGAATAAAAATAAAACAGATTGCCACCCTAGCCCAGTCCTCCTTCCGTCTTCCTTATCACAGGGCTGGGAACCTTCTTGCTGCCTCGGGCATTGGTTTTTATCACACCATCCGTGGGCCACACCAAATGGTTCGGCCTGCTCTACTGTTCAACACAGAATGAACTCACCCTAGTGCCTGGGCGGGGCCGGACCAGATGATTCCGCAGGCCTGGGCCACACATGCCCCCTCCTTCTATCTAGACTAGGGGTGTCGAACTCAATCAGAGAAGGGGCCAAAATCTAAAATCCAGCCTAAATCGCGGGCCGAATGGTTTACTGAACAGTCATAAACTGTCATTGTGATGGAAACGCAGCGGAGTGCAGTGATGACAGCGCGGTGCAGGCCACATTGCAAGGCCTGGTGGGACGGATTTGGCCCGCGGGCCTTGTGTTTGACTCATGTGATCTAGACGATGGATATTAACAATCACACCTGACTGTGATGCCTTACCAGCTGAAGTAATGCTCGGCTTCCGGTCTGATTCCATCCTCACCTCAGAGCGCCTGACTCCATGCTCCTGGAGGCTGCCCCCACCTGAACCGATGTGCCTTTGACCCCTGTGCTGGATTCCAAGTCCTCTGTGTCTCACGGTCAAACTGGTGCGAAGCCAAATAATTACATGTGAGATTTACACCGCTTCCTGGGCGGAAGTGATATATCTCTAACCTACCCTTTCGAAGAGGCCGTTTCATCTTGCCTGGGTTGCAGCACATGATGCATTATTAAAAACGCGTTTCCTATAAACTATTCCAATTTCCAGAACAGTCTTCTAGGGTTCTGAGTGCCGACGGGGGACAGGCAGGGACATAAACGTGCGAGATGGGTCTGCTGGGAGCCGTGGGGAAGGGGAAGTACAAGTCCCGCTTCGAGGAAGCAGCTGCCGCTGAGTGCTGGCCAGTCCTCACGCACATGTGAGAATGTGGCCGCTGTTGTCGGAGCTTCCAACATTTCAGGAGGAGCTGGAAGCCAGAAATTTATTAAAAACAAAACAAAACACCAAAACCCCAAGCAAGCAAGCAAGCAATACTTTGGTGTTTAAATACTGGCTCAAATAAATAAAAAGGGAACAGCACAGGACAAACAACACATTTAGTGACCAATTTCAGGCCACCGGCAGCCAATTTGCAGTCTCTGCTCCCCATAGAGAACCCCAGCCCTGCCCGTCTCACTCCTGATGAATTTATAATGAGCACGCTGGCGCCCGATCCAAGTGCGTCCGGGGTGGCCCGTAATCTGGCCGCACGCATGGTGCCTGCGAGCTGTCTGCAGGGCGCCTCAGTTGTCAGCATAAAAGGACTGTCCTGCCTACTCCTCTGTGGTAGACACGGTTTATTTTTCTTTTCGATCCCAACCTATTCTGCCCATAAAGAAAATACACACAGATTTTGTGATGAAACATATCCCAGCCACATGAAAACATTCAGGTAAAACCTGTGTAAATACCACTTTAAAAACCTGATGACTGCAGTTACCATACGACCCAGCAGACCTTAAAATTGTGTCTTCCCAACGACACACACTGCCCCATGTGTACTGCAGCATGACTCGCGGGGACCAACACATGGAAACAACCAGTGTCCTGCAGCGGAGGAGGGGTAAAGAGGATGTGGTGTGCATATGCCATGGAGTACTACTCGGCCACGAGGAAGGATGACGTGCTGCCATTTGCAGCAGCCTGGACAGGCCTGGAGAACAGCAAGCCGAGAGAAGTCAGGAGGAGAAGCTGGGAACCCTGTGATGTCGCTCAGACGTGGACTGTAAAACCAAAACTCGTGAACACAAACAGCAGTGGTGGTTGCCAGAGAGAAGAGGGTGGGAGAAGGGGGGGGTCCTAATATACGGTGACAGGGAAAGATTGGGCTGTATGTTCATGTTGAGCAGTGTCACCTGTATGTTCATGTTGAGCAGTGTCACCCCAAGAAATTTAATAAAAAACAAAACCAAAACAGACTGGGAATGGCCGCAATGCTAAGTTAGGCACAGGTGGTAACTAGCTTGCGCTCTGACACGAAGAGAGATGCCAGCAAATACTTCCTGAGGGACGGAACATGTGACAGCCCTACCCAGTGGTTTTCAAACGTTGTTCCTTGGAATCTAAAGGGCCTCAGGTCCTTGGAAGTCACATCATGGAGCAAACCGAAGGCTGTCATGTGGATTTTGTTTGAAAAACAAAAAGGTTGAGAATATCTGCTCATCACAGCATGGACTAAAAGGCGGGGCTGTAGGAAAAGGGGCCTTATCTTCAGATGGATGGATGCCTCGGTGTCCACAAAGATGGCAGAAGGGAGTCACCTGGCATACGGAAGGCATTTTCTACAATATTACTTCCATCATCTTCTCAGAGGAGTTTGTAAACCCAGGACATTTAGGATGAGTCGCTCTCCTTAAAATAGAATGTTTAAAACCAAGGACTCTGGAGTAGGGTCCATGTGCTTCAGGGAACACAGTGGTTCATCTGGGACCGGCCGCACACGTTTCCAGCCTCCGTGAGCCCATGTGCAGGACGGCAGTGAGGAGTGTGCTCACTGTGTCGTGGTGAGGCCGGTGCCTCCCGCTGTGGGGACTCCACGAAGCTCTTTATCGCTGCTGTCCTGCTTGCTGTTCAGGAAATGGAAGCCCCACTAGGAGATGTTGCCAGCAGCGTGGCAAAGCGATGCAGAAGCTGGGAGAATGGGTCGCTGCCTTCCGGGTGAGCCAGGACAGACTCGCTGGGTATTCCGTGTGGCCCGGGGCGGGAAGATGAGGAGGTGAGTCACCAGCAGAGGAGAGAGGGGGAGGCTCTCCCAAGAGGAGGCGGCCCGTGTGGGGAAGACGCAGCGTCCACAGGGACGGAGAGCGCCGAGGGGCCGGGAGTGCGGAGGCGGGAAACGAGGTAATGAGAGGTGACATGCCACGGTGTCTGATGTGGAAGATGTGAAGTCACTGGAGATTTTCAGTAGGAGAGCAGGAGCACATTGTCAGAGGAAGCTCATTCTTTCAGGCTTGTCCAGGATAAGCTGAAGTGAGGCAGTAAACCAACATTTGTATGTGGTTATGCCAGGAACTGTATTATGCATGAATTTTCTCAGGGCATTTGAAATGTTGCAATCATTCATGTTCCACATGAGAATACTGAAGCTTAGCGTCGTTAGCTCTCCCAGTTCACACAGCTGGTCAGCGGTGAGCTGTGCTGCGCATGGTTTTGAAAGATGTTCCCAATGCCCCGTACCCGTCCGCGGCTCCGCGTGGTAGGGAAACAGGATGGGAAACCATTGCGGTTCATTCAGATGAAAGATGAGGCGGGGCCGATGGAAAAAAGTGGCAACAAGGACTGATTTCAGAAGCCATTTCTGCGGAGCATGAGCAGATTTTTTTTTTTTTTTTTTTTAACAGATTCAGTATAAAAGAGGAGCTAGAGAGCACCCGAGCAGAATGACTTGCAGGTTATTAGATTGGGAAGGTGCCACAGAAATGGCAGCATTTAACCCTGAGAATCCAGGAGAGAAAATGATTTGGGGAGGGGTTAAAAGCAAACCTGTGCTGAGAAAACGCCATGTTTGACACCTAGAGTTGAAGTAAGTAGAGAACACCCGGAGAGAGAGAGGTGCAGCGATGAGAAGCTGGGAACGGCTGTGGTCAGAAGTGCTGGGCGGTCAGGACACCCTGTGGCTGCCGCCTGAGGACCGGGTCTCACTCGGGCAGAGCGGACAGGAGTAGAGAAGGGCGGTGCGATGCAGTCAGAATGAGAGGCTCACAGGCTTCTTCACCGCTGAAGGCCACGGTCTTCAGACAGTGCCTTTGTCGTAGGCACTTTGGAATCGCTCAGACATTGTCACGCTCCAGCACGCATAAATACCGCGTGAGTGTTCTCTGGGTAACAAATGCACAGAACACCGGAAACTGAAGTCTCCGCAATGGGAAGAGGGAAGGGGCCTGGAAGAACATGGAGACTGGTTAGGCAGCGGGGTGAGGAAAGCCCTTCCAGATGCAGAGAACTGTCCCAGAGTGACATGTTTGCCGGCGAGAAGCTGAGACCAGGACTTTAATAAATGGGCCGTTGGGGGGACAGCGGAACTCCGGAAAAGGTGTCTCCTGCAAGGTCTCTGGCCCAAACTCCGGGACTTGGAACGCAGCTTTGATCAGCTGGGAGTCCATCCGCAAGAGGCAGGTGCCTAATCCACAGTCTCGCACCCTGGCAGTCCAGGTCCAGTGTAAGCGACTAACAAGCAATTAATTGTGCCGGTTTCATTACAGGTGTCCTCATTCACATACATCCTGCTGCGAAGGCAGGCTAAGTGCTTATCAAAGGAGGAAAAGGAAACGCAGTCGATCTGCAGTGGCTTCTTTAACAATGTAAACCTCCCACCCAGACACTATCTGAGGATGCACTGATGTGCCCCAAGTTTCCAAATTGGGGGTCGGTGAACATCTTCTCACATTAAAATAATACAGAGAATACAAATAGAAATAAAAGAACCAAGTCTTTGGGAAAAACACACGCAAAGTAGATGTCTTTGATATTAATGTTTTTATCTTTTATTCCTTCCAATGCTTATCTCCTTCCGTGAGAAGCAGATAGCCATTTAGAAACTCAGTCTGATAAGAATCATTTTGTTGGTCCTGAGAAATGGAAGGCTCATGTATTATATATGCTCTACCTTTCTGGAACTCAAATATTTTCATTATTCTTTTTAATCAGGTGGACTTTTTGCATAATAAATATTCAGACATGCTCAATTATGTATGATGTAGTGCTATTATAAGATTTCAGGGGGATGCTTGGAGAGAAAGGCACTCAGGCCTAATAATAACCACACCGGAGCGGTCTTGTTTCAATATGAAAAGTGACAGAAAAGCACGCAGTTTCTTCACAAAAATCAGGATAGGTGTGCCTGAGGCATGGGATACACGGCAATGCTTTACAATATTTTTAAAAGATATTGTCTTATAAAGTCCAGAAATAACAACCAAGAACCTTGTTGTTCAAAACCCAGCAGAGAACGTGACACCTCTGAGTTGCTGAGCAATCTCTGAGCGAGGACTGGCATGCCTCCGAGAGCCGCACTGCTAACGGGAAGTGTAGCGATGGGCTGCGGACTCGGGGCCTTTAAATGTCAAGGCACACTAATAATTCATGCATCCGGGGACCACAGAGCCAGCAGCGTGTCAGCAATCAGGCCACGCTCTCCGGAAAACAGGTGGAATTAACACGCCGGTGCTGGGAGTTAAGAGAAGATTACGGGGCGCCGGTGAAAGGAGTAATTTTCTCCGGCAGACGAGGCGGCTGCTGCTGCCCTCTGCGCGGCTCATTATGCCTCCAGCCACGGCCCCAGATACAGGCCCCGCACCCGCACCCCGCACCCCGCACCCCGCACGTGGCGGACAAGGGGCCTGGATGGAGTCGAAGCAAACGCGCAGGCAGTCAGGAGCCAGCCCACGCGGGAGACATGGCAGCAGAGAGGACAGCGTCACGAAGGAGGCCTGGAGGAAGCCCTGCTTTTGTGCAAACGCAATTTGCTGAGATTCACTTTGAATTTGTATGATTTCAAGAGCTCCCGTGTTAGAGGCCACGCGGGCAAGCAAGACTTCAATCCAACACTTCAAAGCATGTCTTGGTTCTTCAGAAACCGTCCTCTTCCTTATTTTTATTTATTATTATTATTATTATTTTTTTTTTACCACGGTCTTCACTTTGGACAGAACCTTTAAACTAACAGCTGCATTCGAAGTGGGATGGGAGGACTGGACAGGAGAGAGAAGGAAAGCTGTATCTTATTGAGCGATTATTTTTTTATTACCATGCTGGGAACCAAAAATGTCTCAAAGATGTCTCCCTCAAAAAAAATCTTTAGATCAATCTTTAATGAGAAAGAAATGGGGAGCGCGGGGGGGGGGGGGGGGGATGTTCACCCAGCTCTTGTCACACACACACTCACACACACACACTCACACACTCACACACACACACTCACACACACTCACTCACACACACACACACACACACACACACCTCTCTCTACCTTTCCCGACTGCTCAGGAGCCGCTGGCTCTTAAATCCCACGTCTGAATTAAATGCCCCGAGCGCCTGAGTGACTGTCAGCCGCTGGTTAAGAGATAGATAGATCCATTATGTGGTCCTGATGAAATCCTTGTATGATTTGTGACCCTTTAACTAAGGACATTTTCTCTAAGGTGACAAAAATCACAACGGAACATAAAAAAGAGCGCTTCATTTACCAAGGAAACGCCATCCATTATGTAAGTCCTCCCGGGAGAGCCGGGCCAGGCGCATGCTGAGTGACTGCCCTCAACGTGAAGCGACTCCTTTGCGTGGAGCCGCCGAGTGCTGGTGTGACTGGTCATTAGGAGAAAAACAAATAATAATTAGGAAGTAATACTATTTACGCTTCTGAAAAGGACATAAAATATGTATACAGAAGCTCTCAAGCTAATAAAAATATAATGGAGATCACTTCAAACATTTCCCATGGATCTCGCACAGCCACTGCTAAGATGAAATGATGTTAAAGCCACTTCCTCAGGTCTTATACAAACCTCTCCGCTGAGCCACGAAGGGCCCAGCCCAGTGGGGTTGCACCCTGGATTCAGGAGACTGCGCCTGACTGCCTCCTACTGCTGCCCCGCACCTTTCAAACGGCCGCTGACTGGGCGCTGCGGGTCTTGGGATTTGAAATGCCCGCAGTATTTATACAGCATTGAAAACCGTTTCCACCCGGCGTTCTCAATGCCACTCCTCCCTGTGGTGATGCCTCGAGCTGGCTACCAGGAGGACATGTGGCCGTCATCTCCTGTGTTGCTTACAATGAAACCTCATGGTTTTCTCTCACCGCTAACAGTATATTGACTGAGAAATCAAACCATTTCTCGTTTCCTTCCTCCTCCCTATCCTTTTTTATTTTAATGATTCGGTATTTCAATGGTTTTGTGTTTGTCGTTTTCAATAAGACTCATACTTAGAAGTACGGGGAGGTTCGATGCTTTTACAATTATGTTCAAACAAATACAATGTCCTCTTGAAATGGGCCCAAGTGAAGTTGTCAATGTGCTAGTTTCTTCCTTAGCTTCCTGGTCAAAATCTTACTCGAACATAAATGCATTATCCAGGTCCTGCTACCCATAAGCCATGGATATGAAATACACATGCCATCCGAATCACAAAGTATCTGTTAAATGCTAATCCCATCAATTACCCCATATTTCTTGATGGTTTTGCAAATAATGTGGTCAGAAGACAGGCTCAGGGAATGTGTTAATATCTTGATGAGCCATGACAATAACATGATCAGTCGATATAAAAACCCTAGATGCATATGGTTCTTTTCCTAACGGAGACATTACCTTACAAAAGATAGATCCCGTTGCTGAGCATCCATTAAAAATGGAACAGCCACATATGATGAAAGCCACGTCACTAGGAAAGATGGAATTTGCATTCGTCAGGCACATTCCTCATGACTGCAGCCCTCAGCGGCACCAGTGTGGGGGCCGCACCGTAATGGTGATGTGACATGAACACCTACTGCAGGCTGCTCCTGAAGCACACACACAAATGTCCACTTTCCTGAGACCAGAATGTGACCACACCACAGCGCGGTGCCTGCTCTGTGCATGTACTTACTCTGGAAATGTAAGCATCTTCTTCATCTAAGTAAACGTAGTCTCCTAGGGTTCGTACGCCGATAAGTACACTTCTGTTTTTTTGTTGTGTATTGTTTTTTAACGGGGCATTTTCCAGGCCACGCAGCAGACCTGACTCTGACTGAGCTAGCAGGGAAGGAAGAAACAGGGCTGAGTGGGGGCTGGAGGATTCGGGTTCATGAAATGCCCATTATTTATTCATTCATTCAACATTCTTTTCCACTTGTTCCTATTATGTACGGAACATTGAGCTGCGCTGGGCCTGGCGCGGAGAACACTGCATACACATTAACTCAGTGCAGTTCATTCATAACCATTTTCCACACCTATATTTATTCAATGAGAAAGTGCTGAGCCAGGCGTGAGCCGTGAACAGAAATCACTGCAGAGCACCATGGTTCCCCCACGGGCCTCTTCTTGGGGTAGAATTGACCAGTGATCCAATTTCCAAGTCATTCTTGTCCTAAGCCCAGTCCCCTCCATTTCTGGAGTTACCAGCTTGGTGGCAACATATAACAAAACATATAGTTAGCACCTCCTTTATCCTTAAAATATGGACTTCCTATTAAAATATGCTCACAAATTTATAGACAAGCATTCTTTGTAGGCAGCTAGAGATATCATCTCTCTGTTCATGCCATAATTTTAGATGTAATAATAATTATTATCATTGAAAAAATGATATTCAATTAACACAGCAGTTTTCTGAGTAGCTGGTGAGTGAAAAGCATGTGATTATTTAAAAAAAGAAAGACCCATTCTGCCTGGCCAGTGTAGCTCAGTGTTTGAACTTCAACCCATGACACAACCAGGGGTCATGGTTTGGCTTCCGGTCAGGGTTTTGGGCTATTATAGATCCCTAGTAAGGGGCATGTAGGAGGCAGCCAATTAATGCTCCTTTTTCATCAGTTATATTTCTGTCTCCCTTCCTCTCTGAAATCAATTAAAAACACACATATATACATTAAAAAAAAAGGTCCCATCTTTGTCTTCTATAGCTTTCTGTTTAAAAACTGGTAAGAATATATAATATTATTGCTAATAATCAGATCAGGAGGTCCTGGTGACTTTTCTACTTTCAAATGAATAATAGCTCACTTATCAGCCAGTACTTTGGGCTATTGGTGTCCATTAATTAAATGGGTGAATGGAGATATGTTTCTGAAATTAAATTTTGTTATTTAAACTGAACTCACCATAATGTAAGATTGTTTAGACTAATTTTATATGATGCCAAAAAAAATTCATTCAAATTGGTTTTAAATTATAAAGAAAACCTAGGACCTTCCCAGTTCATAGAAAAGGTAGTAAAATTAACTGATAGTTCAAATCAAGAATCTTAAAAAAAAGGGCAAAGTCTATTCGAGTTAGAAAACAGGCTTAATTAATGTGATAAGACTGTTACAAGGGGAAGAATAACTCAGAAACGACTTAATTTATATCATCGTAATTGTGAGATGAAAGACCGTGCCTCCAAATCTACTAGTGCTCAAGGTTTATTGAATTATTAATTTGGAAAAATCTGAAGAAAAAAAAGAACGGTTTCTAAATAATATGTTTCTCTAAGTGACGTGGAATAATGGTAGTGTATATTTCCTGTTTATTTTATTTTTTCCATCCCATTTCTCTCTTCTATGCCCTCTTCCCCCTCCACCCCTACAATCACCGCACTGTTGTCTATGACCACGAGCTTTCTCTCTTTTTATTTTATTTTATTTTTGCTTATTCCCTCCATCCCCCAACACCCGGGCCAGAGCTGTCTGCCCTCTCTCCTGTTTAACAATCCCTAGACTTTGTCACTGTTTACATAGATTCAATGTTTGCAATGAAACTATAAATAGTGAACAGACTGAGTAAATTTCATATATGACTGAGGGTCATCCATCACTGTATGTGTTGGAAATAGTTGATAAATAGTTTCATGTCCTCTGTATTTCAGAATGGTGAGGAAAGGTCCCTTATCTATGAGAAAAATCCAATTGTCAATCCATTTGAGGCACAAAGCAAAGAGCACAGCCCAGAAACACGGCTGTTAATCCCGCCTTCCCCAGATCTCCCCGGCCTTGAAGAGTGCGGGAAACTCAGTGCCCCACTGTTTCCCCCAGAAAAGATTTTAGGCCCAGCAGCTTTCTCAAGTCGTTCCAAGTGCAAGAGCTCCCATTGAGAAGGCCGAGAAATGCCTCAGAAAAAAATCACTCAGAAATTCAATTTGCTATTTTGAACCTCAATTAAAAAAAAAAAAATTTCCTGGCATGCTTTGAAAATGTCAGGAAAAAGGAAAAACCCAAGTCCCTCTGCACAGATTCCCGTCTGCGCAGTGCAGGCACTTGAGACATGAAGCTCAGATGCTTCTCCTTTGCACCAGGATCCAGCATGGAGACCCTGGAACAATCTAAGTGAATGCTGAGCTGGGCACCCAGAGGTCCCTCCTGCTCAGAGTCAGGCTAACACACACGCACGAACACACACACACACACACACACACACACACACACACACGCTGCCCCGAGGTCCGCAGAGGCTCCTGGTGTGTGCACAGGCCAAGGCTCAGCCAGAACAGTCAGGTCTGCCCTCCGGCTCCCAGGCCGCCAGCACCCCTGGGCCACGCGGCGCGGGTGGTAGGGTGGGATTATCCTGGCGACAATGAGAAACACGTCAATGGGTGCTCGGAAACCCCTGGGAGGAAGAGAGGTGACTCCTCTTTTTACCGACCAGGTTTTAAAAATCCGCTCGTGTTGGCTGAAGCCCTTTCCCAAAGAGGCAGGCACCTGTGAGCAGTAAGGGACCATTAGGCGCTGCCCCCTCTCAGGGCACAGCACGGTGGTGAGGGGAGGTCCGCCCCTGGGGAAAGCACAGGAAGGCTCTCCGTTTGACATCCGGCTTTCCCTGCACAGGCAGGTCCGTGGCATCACTCCGTGGACACCTGGGCTGCTGCTGAGAAAGACCATTCTCTCCAGGTTTTATTTTTGCAGCCATAAGTTGGAATTTTAGAACCCAAGTTCCAGTACTTCCTGAGGGTCTGTGTCTACATAATAGTCTGTTTCTTTAAAAAAAAATTTTTTTAATTTACTTCAGAGAGGTAGGGAGAGGGAGCTTGAAATATCAATGATGAGAGAAAATCCTCCTGCATGCCCCCTACCGGGGATTGAGCCTACATCCGGAGTATATGCCCCTGACTGGAACTGAACCTGGAACCCTTTATTTAGTCCATGGGCTCATGCTCTATCCACTGAGCCAAACAAGCTAGGGCAGCAAGTCTCAAATATTGGTAAGTCACCTTCCAAAACATCAATCAAGGACTTCCATGTTTGCGGTGGGCTGGATGCGGAGTGCATACAATGAAGACACGCAAACCCTGCTCTCAGGGATCCACTGTCAGCAAAGGACCCCAGCTGTGCGTGCAGAGACCGTTGTGGTGACGTGAGACTTAAAAGAAGGGCTGTGGTGTTACTGTTAGGGGCACGGCCACGTTCGGGAGAAGGTGCATTTAATGCATCAGAATATTTATGTGGGGACATAACGAGCACTACTCCTCTCAGAAGTAGTCATTTCTTGCACAGTCTTCTGTGAGCTATGGAATGGCTTCACGCGTGGATTTACAGTCCATTTTCTCTGAGAAAAGGAGAGATGGGTGGTGTCAGGGGGACATTCCCGGACACCGATGACAGGGAGAGGCACACAACTCCAGCCGTAAAATTAAATCCATAAAAAACACAGATGACTTCCCAGAATATTATTTACAAAAATCACCGGGTTGTGAATCAAACTCCTATTGAAAATGGCTTTGCCACACGACTCCATCGAGGCTTTCTACTTAATGAGATGTCTGGCCGGGAAGATGTGGGGAGCATTTACCCAGAATGCCACTGCGGGCTCTCCACTTGACGGAAATGCTTGCAAGAAGCTTTGAAAGTGGCAACACATTTGTGAACAACATTGTCAAATTTCCCCTAAAGGAACGTGTGAGCAGAGAGCACCAGCCTGTCAATGCCGGGCTGACGCTCCTGAGTCTCCAGGCACTGCTCCATTTTAGGGTGGAATCCCACTTTTCAAATCATCCTTTTTTTTACAATCATTTAGTTCTACTTAGTCTAGCATTCATCATATTCTGATCATTCATCCTACTTCTAGACAAGATGCATAGCTCCCGGCCAGCATGGCTCAGTGACTGAGCGTTGACCTATTGAGTGTCATGGTTCGATTCCCAGTAGGGGGCATGCAGGAGGCAGCTGATCTGTGCTTCTCATCATTGATGTTTATCTCCCTCTCTTCTTCTGCCTTCCTCTCTGAAATCCATAAAAATACATTTTTAAATAGATGTATAGGACTTAAACTAATTCACAGATGAGCCCATTCAACACAAAAGTTAGTAAAATAAATTAGATCAGAATGCATTCCAAATTGAAAGGGAAATAGTGTACATGGCCTGCCTGACTGGATTACCCTTTGGGCTAACTGGTCTCTCAACAGCTCTGCATATAACTACGATGGATCTGAGTAGATTGTGTTCATTGGTTTCCACATCTTCACCATCTTCCTTCATTGCTAGTGTGTGTTTTTGAAGGTGACATACTGTGTTCTTCCCCTTTGTATCCATAGAAACCCCTATGGCAAAGTTCAGTAACTGCAGGATGGATGACGATGGGCTGCCTGAAAGAAACATGAGATTCTTCTCTGTCTTACTGCTTGTGTTGGGGCTATGCTATTTTTTTACATTAATTATTCTGGTTTTGTTTGTTTTTAGTTTTTTTTTAATATTATTTTTATTGATTGCAGAGAAGGAGAGGGAGAGACAGAGACAACAATTATGAGAGAGAATCGTTGATCTCCTGCATGCCCCCTACTGGAAACTGACATCCTAGTTCATAGGTCAATGCTAAACCATTGAACCACGCAGGCTAAACAGTTATTCAGTTTTTGAATTAGCATAAGATTTGACTTGAAATTCTTTAAATACAGATCAACTGGAAGCATATAAAAGTACTGTACTAGGTATTTCTTCATTCTAACTATATATTTATATATATATATATAGATATAGATATAGATATAGATATAGATATAGATATAGATATAGATATAGATATATAGATATATAGATATTTGGAGGCCCAAGGCATGAAGATTCGAGCAAGAATGGGCCTTCCTTCCCCTGGCTGCTGGCAGCGCCTTCGCTCTGGCGAGAGCCACCTTTCCGCCTTCCCACCTGCCCAGGGCCTGGAGTGACTAGGGTGGTGCGGAACACCTGTGTCTTCTTGGCAACGACAAGCATCCCACTCCACCCCCAACTGCTCAATGCCTGTGCATGCAAAGTAACCTGCCAGCTTTGTTGGGTTAATTTGCATACTCACTCCTGATTGGCTGGTGATGGGTGTTGCGAAGGTATAGTCAATTAGCATGTTATTCTTACATATGTATGTGTGTGTGTAAATTAAATTCTTAATTAGGTCCTTAAATTCTTGAGTTTTCAATAGATATTTATCTGAACACTGGCACACTAGTAGAATAATTTTTTTCAAATGAGAAGAAAGAAATTAACTAGCTATAAGCTTGAAAAAAATGTCATGGGGGGGAAAAAAATAACCTAGAGGAAAAATCTGAGAAGATAAGCAGAAAACAGTCACTAAGACTTCCAGAAATAATATATTTATTCAGTAACCTCTTTCCAGGAGTCATCCATTTCTTCAGCACATTGTCTTGCACTGTTCTCTGAAGGGTAACTAGGTAAATACTTAGCATTTGCACAGTAACAATAAAAAGGTATCCTGCCACTTAGAGAAAACACAGCATCCAACAAGGGAAAGAACAGGAAAGAGAAGATTAGTCACAGCAGATCTAAGGGGAGAATGAGCACAAAAGAAACCAATAACACAATTAACTAGGATGTCAGCACTAAACGTGGGAAACACAATTGTACTTGAATCTATACATAAGACCATGGCCCAGGGTAATTTGTCCTGCCTCCTCACCCCATGGTCTCTCTTATTTACAGGGAATAGTGCCAGTGAAATGGTGTCATCTGCATATAGCAAATCTACAAAACTGTTTTGTTTTTGGAGTAGGAAAGGGATGGCACAAACTCCTCCACCTGACTTCTTACGATCCATGGGAAGTCCCAGCGGCAGTTATTGGGCAGAGAAGGAGTGAAAGTCAATCAGATCACAGTTGGTGTGGGGAGGAGACTGAGGACTGACACCTGATGCGTTTCCTCCAATTCTGACCAATGAAGCTCACCTGTCCAGAAGGTGTCAAATCATGGATCTTCATTGACTCCAGCCCCTAGAACACATGTGTCAAACACAAGGCCCGCGGGCCAAATCCGTCCCGCCAGGCCTTGCAATGTGGCCCGCACCGCGCTGTCATCACTGCACTCCGCTGCGTTTCCATCACAATGACAGTTTATGACTGTTCAGTAAACCATTCGGCCCGCGATTTAGGCTGGATTTTAGATTTTGGCCCCTTCTCTGATTGAGTTCGACACCCTTACCCTAGAATGAGGTGTTATTTCAGGAAGCACCCTCAATAACTCCTCACAGACAGCCTTTGGTTGAGCATTAAACACTCTAACCCTGAGAAAGTAAGAGAGGAGGGATTCTGGGTGTGTGGCAACCTTTTGGTAGTGGAAAAACACAATCCAGGTAATACTCTGAGTGGTGGGCTCCTATGCGCCAGCCACTGATATCCCCCACAAAATACATAAATTGAGGCGAAATCCTTGCATTTTTTGGTCTGAGTGCCTCTGGTAGAATGTGGTGATAAAAGTGATCACAGCGGAACCTAGTGTAGCTTTTACAGCTGCGAGTGATGAGGAACGGTGTGGGCTCGAAACCGCCTTGGTCAGGTGCTATCCCAGGTCCTTATAAACATGTGGTGCTCGAGCCTAACAATGGAACTATGTGGTAGGTATTACCATCGTTTTCTCAAATGAGAAACGGAGTCTTGGGGGGAAAAACAGACAAACAAACAAAAACTTCTCCAGGGTGAGATAGTGATAAAATCAGAATTGGGCTACAAGGACTTACTCCAAAACCCACGATCTTTGTTTTATCTCTCTATATAAAAGGCTAAGCAACCATCTGACTGGCTGGTAGGTATGATGTGCCTTGACCACTAGGGGTAGGCGCTCAATGCAGGAGCTGCCAAGCTGCAGTGACTTGGCAGCGGTGGTTCTTGGGTGATGCACCTGAACCAGAGAATTCCTCATGGCGTGGGGGTGGGGGTTAAGGAGGGCACACAATTCCACCTTTGGCGGTGGGTTATGCTGTTGCTGGGCCTGGATCATCCCTGAATCTGGTTTATTGCCAAGCTAAGGTGACTGCAGACACTCTGTGAGCTGCAGTGCCACCCTGGGTGTGGCTGGCTGGGAGGGGTGGTGGCAGGTTGGCTCCAGGGCGTGTCTGGCCCATTTTACCCAGTCCCACCCTGCTGGCCACCTTCTAATTAATTTCCTTTCAATATGCACTAATCCATGCACTGGGCCACTAATTTAAAATAAAGATGATATAAATATTACTGAAGACCTTGATAGAATTCCTATATTTTGTATTATTTATATACTAACCAAATGGATGGAACTACTTGGCCTAAAATCTCAAGTGGAACAACATTAATTTTGAGATGAATGTAATTTGTGACCAAGAGATTTATACCCCACTTTTCCCGGCATTTCGGCCTTACCTTACAGACTCTGCTGGGCTGGCAGACTCCTGGGCGGCGACAGCACCGTAGTGGCTGTAATGCTCTAAGAGATGGTTATAAACACATCTGCGTGGCTAAAAATAAACGCATTTCTTTCATCAATTTGTCCAGGGCTTTAAGAAATGCCACTCTCAGCAGGGCTGATCGAGACCTATAAATAGAGGCAGCCCAACACCAATGCGTGAAGCCGCTGCGCCCACCCCGTGCCGAGCCCTAACACACCGTTCTCCAGGGGCTTCCCATGGAACACACCTGGGGACAGTACTCTGCTTACAAACTAGGGGGCGACTCAGAGTCAAGCTACATACTACACACACAGACATACAAACACACTGGTGATCATTATGTAAATGGATCACAGTGAAATAATTTCAGAAAAGGACCAGATGTTCGATTGAAAGGCTCTCTCTCACTCAGTCGGCCTGGCTCAGTAGTTGAGTGTCCATTTGTGAACCAGGAGGTCATGGCTTGATTCTTGTCAAGGGCACATGCCCAGGTTGTAGGCTCAATTCCCAGTAGGGGGTGTGCAGGAGGCAGCCGATCAACGATTCTCTTATCATTGACATTCCTCTCTCTCTCTCCCCCCTCCCTTCCTCTCTGAAATCAATAAAACTATATATACAAAAAATGCCCTCTGCATGCCTGTGACCTCCTATGAATTCTATTGTATTAACTTCCATGTTGTATTGTCAACGCTTTTCTTCCCAAGCAGAGCATGAGCTTCCTAAGGTCAGAGACTGTATCCTTTCCTTTGCGACCTCAGTGCCTAACCCTGTCTGGCACTCACTGACTCCGTATTGAACAGACAAATAATTAGCAGAAAGTAAAATGCCGGCGTGCATAATGGCACCACAGGTTACAATCCATGTTTGCACTCAGGAATGGATCTGACTTCTCCCCACGTCCCCGTAAACGCTTGGAAATACATCTCTAGTTCACCCAGGCACACGTGTCGCAGAAGAAAGTTACATTTAATCGTGTGTAGATGAACTGGGATGACTCAAAGCACCAGGAGCCACCCACGGAGCCCGAGGCGGAGGCTGAAAGCAGCTGCCTGTCCTTGAATTCTGAGCGGTTGTAGCCTGCTGGTCCCAGGACAATGCGACAAAGCTGGTGGAGTCTGTATCTGAGATGACCTTCGCCCTCCGGTGTTTGAACCTCCTGGACCTTTTGCCTCTGTTCTCAGGCACCCGGAGCCTTTGGGCTGGGCTCCGACTGAGAGGACGGATGTGGGAAGAGCGTGAGCTTTGCCTTCATTGTCGGAGGCGGGTGTGCGCTCATTTCTATAACCCTTAGTCCCCGCCCTATAAATTCAGAAAAATGATGATGTTGCTCTGAGAGAAATGCTGTGGGCCTAGAGAAAGGACACACGAGAACGCTCTGTAAACTATGAATTGTTAAACAGGTATTTGATGTTATTTAAAGGAGCATCACGCAGAGTGAAATAAGCCACTCAGAGAAAGACAAGTATCACAGGATCTCACGTGTATGTGGAATCGAATGGAACAAAATAATCTGACACACCAAATAGATCCAGAGACACGGAAGCATGCGCAGACTGAGGATTCTCGGAGGGAAGGAGGTGGGGGCTGGGAGATCAACCAAAGAACTTACATGCCTATATGCACGGCCCGTGGACACAGACACGAGTGGGGCGAAGGCCTGGGGAGGGGAACCGAGTGGGGAGGAGGACAATGTGGGGATAAAACGGGACCTCTAATATTTTCAATAATGAAAATTTTAAAAATTTGTGCTCAGTGTGAAACTTCAAAATGTAATATCCCAGATTATTAAAATACTGTCCACTAACTAGTTTGCAGATTTAAAAAACAAAATGTATCCTACTGTGAACAATAAATAAATGAGTAAATAAATAACCTCAAAAGTAAATAAAAGAGCCTTGAAACTGGGGACTGCCAACATCCTCTGTCCCCAGAAGTCCCTGTGGCCTAAATAAAGTACCTCCCTCCCTCATCCGAACCCCCACCTCCCGTCACACTATCGGGGCCCAGAGACCACAGGACGGCAGCCTGAGTCTGTCCGCTTTCAGTAAATGCCTGGTAAACACCACCAACCTCAGTGCGCTGGCATTATCAAAGCGGGGGTTGGGATCCAGTCGTTCTGGAGGCTGCTGGGGACAAGTCCTCTTTGTGCCCGGTCTGACCCCTCATCCTGACCCTGAGAAGCATGGCCAGCAAGGTGGCCACCCCGAGAACGGAGACCATTCATCTCTGTCATAGCCGCCAGCCCATAAAGGATGGCAATTTAATTTCCTGAGATTTGCTAATCTGAAAGTTTAATTAAGAGGAACCCAAGACACTGAAATCATTTTCTATCAAATATATAGAATAGCAATACTAACCACCAGATGATTTATGTTGCCAGAGTGACTGTAAAAATTATATTTATAAAAGAAACCAAGTGTAACCACTTCAACAATTCTAGGAAGGCACACTCCAAGAGGTAAAATTAAAATTAGGGGAAATGAGACCATTTATAATGGGTCGTTATGACTCTAAGTGACGATGATTATTGGTTCTGCTTAATAAAACTGTCATCTAACAAGAAATAGATATTAAGTAAATTATATTACATTATCATTCAATCATGCTACAAAATTCAATGCAAAGGTTTTGTTTTTTTAAAATAAACCCATAAGAAAACAGGCC